CGAAAGGGGAGACGCGGGAGGGGAGATATATGGGCCATGGCGTTAGCGGAATCGACCACCAGCCCCCAAAGATCGCTTTTCTCTGACACCAAAACGCACCCCACTATCGCTACTAGTGCCGGGGCAGCTAAATACATGGTCATTATGTGTCGTGGTACACTACCAGCCTTGTGCAGGTGTCAAACGGGCCTCCGGAGGCACTCCAGACCGGTCCGGGACCCGTGAGAACTCCAACCAAAGAGGTATCCAACGCCTCCCGACACCCGAGCAGGGCGGCCCAGGCCACCCTAGCACTGCCTGCCGCCTGTGAGCCAGGCCAGTTGGCCCCAGCCAGCCTCAATCGTGCCAGAGACTGCCCCGCGCCATGCAGCTATTGCAGACAGCAGGGCCGAAAGCGCGCTCAAAGTGCGATGCTCGCCTCGAACACGGCCTCGAGCGACCTCTCCGGGTGCTACATGACCGCCTTCGCGAGGCTTGTTGCGGGGGGCATGCCAGCGCCGCGCTGCTCCGAGTTGACGGCGCCCCGCACTCGTCTGAAGGCGGAAGGTCGACGGCGGCTGCGATTAGCCGCCGGTGAGCGCAAACTGCGCCGCTCGCCACAAACGTGGCGCCGAGAGCCGCCGCCGGCTGCGCAGCGACCGCCACCGCGCGGCTCGTGGCGATGGGAACGCCAGCGCCGCCCTGCGCCGCCTCCCCCCAACGCCCGATACGCGCTCAGAGCCGGGGGAGCGACGGCGGCAGAGGTGCGGCTGCCCGCGAACTCAGACGGCGCCAAGCGCCGTAGAGACGGCGCCGCGAGCCGCAGCCGGGTGTCTCGCGACCGCCGCCGCGAGGCCCGTGGCGATGGCAGCGCCAGCGCCGCCCTGCGCCGCCTCCCTCAACGCCCGGTACTCGGTCAGAGCCGGGGGAGCGACGGCGGCAGATGCACGCCCGATGGCGACCTCAAACGGCGCCGAGCGCCGCAGAGACGGCGCCGCGAGCCGCAGCCGGGTGTCTCGCGACCGCCGCCGCGAGGCCCGTGGCGATGGCGGCGCCAGCGCCGCCCTGCGCCGTCTCCACCATCTGAACTCCCTCGCACAACACTGGTTGTGCAAAAAAAGAATTCTTGGGCCGGCTCTCACAGCACACTGGCACGACAAGGGCGCGGACTGGCGCGGACTGGCACACACACCGGCTCACCACCGGAGCCGCCTAAGCGACTCCGTTAAGAACGGCAATGCACTCCGCACCATGCACAATGCCGCTCTCCCCGCACGCTAGCTCGTTCACCGTCTGCCACGCCACGGCGGTGTGGAGGACGACAGACAAGCGCTGCATCTGCAGCCCGTGCCAGTTCTTGGTGGTCCATGTGACCTCGTCCAGGTGCTGAGCGTGCGAAAGTTTGTTGCTCAGCTGGTTCGCCGCCTCCCTCAGGGTGCTGCGAACCTCCTTTCCAAAGCCTCCGAAAGCCTCAAAATCAAACAAACGTAGATCGCAATCCTGCTGCCGCGCAAAGGGGTAATCGCCAGGCTGCTGCTGGAGCTTTCCCTTGGGGGCATCCTCCTCCTCCCCCTCCTCCCCCTCCTCCTCGGCCTCCTCCTCCTCCCCCGCCACCGCCGCTGCCGTCGCTCCCGACGGAGACCACTTGCCGCGCCCTTTGACCAACTTGAGCAGCCCGGTCTCCGTGTTGCCAAAACGCACATAGCCCCCCTTCCAGCCGAGCCGAATTTCACCCTCTCCATCCTCGGGAAAGAATTCTTACCTAGCGGGCCCTCAACGGAGCTGGGAAGAGGAGACCGCCGCAAGCGGCGTGGCGTGGAGCGGTTGTGCATCCCTCCGGGGGCCCCTCTGCGCCGGGGAGGCGTTGTTGGAGGCTAGGACGCAAGCGTCCGTCGCCCTTTTTCAAACTCGGGGCCCACTCCGCTACGCTCCGACCCGAATTTGGAGGGCCTGAAAAGTTTAAGGTGTTCCGCTGCGCAAAAGGGTGGGGAGCGCAGGCGCGGGCGCGCAGTGGAAGCACGCTAGCCATAGCTCCAGCGGACGCGATCTGCCAGATGCGTCGACCGCAATTCCCGGAATCTCGGCCCGCACCACACACGGCAACACAACTTCCCCATGCCGCAGGTAGACCTCGTACACCATCCGCCGAAGCCGAGCGGCCGAACTCTCCACCGGAATTTGTTGGCGTGCTGTCGCCGCGTCATCCGGCGGCTCCTCCTCTATGAGACGTCCAGGAGCACGCCCTGCCGTCGCTCTCGACGTGCGCCGCACACCTGCGCGGACAGTGGGCAGACGTTTCCGCCTTGTGTCCTCGTGTGCCCGGAAAGCCTCGAGCCGGCGCGCACCGGTGGCAGCGCAGGATGAGGCGGCAGCAGTGGAGGGTTGGGGCGCATTTGAAGGCGCTGGCCCCGACGCGCCATTGCCTGGGTCGGGGTGGTTCCTCACCCCTCTCGTTTCTTCAGTCAAGCGGGAAGAGTCTGTGCAAGGGAGGCGGATGGGGCTGGCTGCGTCACCCTGGAGCATGAAAGGTTCCTACGGTAAGGCTACTCGGGTACGCAGCACCTTGGCTTGGCCCCCGAGCGGGGAGGCGGTCGACGACGCGCAGCATGGCGGTGAGCGCAGCCTGACGACGCGTCTTGATGGACGGATCCTTCTGCCGACTGACCAATGTCCTCCATCCCTCGATCAGCGGCTTCGTTACCAACATGCGCTCGAGAGGCGGAGCAGCCTCGATGCGATCCAATTCGGTAGCTATCTTGTAGCGCAGCGCATCGTCAAAAGGAAGCTTGTTGCAGGCGTCGCGCGCCTCCCCGAGGTCACGCAGGAAGCTCTCCATATGTGTTGCAATGAACATCGGGCCGCGCGCTGACTCTGTCGCGAGGGAAAGAAAAATTTCGTCACCGCTCACGTGGACCGCGCTCGCCATCTCGACCGCGTCGTCCTCCGGCGGAAGCTCCGCGTCGCCCGCGGCCGCTTCCCGAGCGCGCTCGTCGCGCATCCTTTCGTGGTGGGCCTGCCGACGCGCCACGCCGGCGCCCGTGTGCCTCGCTCGCCGCCGCGTCCGGCGCCGGCATCGATCGCTGCCACAGGTCGTCCCACAGGTTGTCCCACAAGGTCGTCCCAAAGAGGACGCATCCAACCCGCCGCATTTCGCCCGCCGAAAAGTCTCCCACTCGCGCCCTCCGCCTCCCCAAACCGAGTCCTCTCTACAGTTACATACATACATTCCCGTAGGAACCCTGTGCCTCTGTGTTCGTGCGTCGCCATCTCTCCTGGAGAAACTGCTCTATTTATTTTTTATAGGAACCCTGCCCAGCGGCCCCCCTCCGTGTCGCGATGCGCTCCCCACTCCCGTTCCCCTGTGTCCCTGATCGTCCTTCCAAAATCCTGCTCGTCGTGCAGGTGGGGACCCTGTCCTCGTCCAAACCAATGTTGAACCAAAGGATGAAGGATCCAGACCACGATGACAGAAACGGCCAAATGGCCATGATCCATGTAGTCACCGCAAGCAGCTTTACATACGCGTGTACTCGTAGCATGTTGGATCCAGCCCCAGCCATGCACCTCCTCCTAAGTGCAATGGCAAGTACACCGAGGAAGAAAATGCTCAATAGCTCGATGCCGATGCTATGCACTATACGCTCGAGGCACGGGAGGATGACTGCTTGCAGAATCACACTGTGCACGTGAGCATCAGAGTATGCCGGCCCTTCACGAAAGGAGGATGCGCCCACGGCATCCGGGGCGAGGGCGAAGCAACCCGGAAAGCACCGGAGGTTGATATTCAGCTGGTTTTACCTTCGTTCGGTTGGGGACGGGACGGGGAACTTTTGCGAGTGGGCAGGGGACTGCAGGGGGACAGGGGGAGGGAGGCCCAGCGAGGGGCTGCGGCTGGATCCTACTGCGCGGCTGGACTAAAGACGCACTAAACCTCGCTAAATCTGGATGTAAAGTCGCACTAAATTTGCGCTAAATTTGCGCTAAATTAGGTGCCCTGTAGGCTTGGCTGCAAAGGGGATTTTTGTTGTGCCGATTTCGTGTGTGCTCCGCTTCTGAGAGAGAGATTTTGAGACATGTCACATGAGAGAGAGAGAGAGAGAGAGAGAGAGAGAGAGAGAGAGAGAGAGAGAGAGAGAGAGAGAGAGAGAGAGAGAGAGAGAGAGAGAGAGAGAGAGAGAGATTTTGAGTGAGAGTTTAGAGAGAGAGAGAGTTGAGAAATACATTTTTTAATTTATTTTCCGGCCATCGGAGCTGTGCTTATCTCTCTCCAACTCCATCCTTGCTTGCGTTCCCCCCCTGCCGGTGTGTCCAGTCGCTGGCCAGCCTCTTCTAAACCAACACTCCCGTTATTCCCAAGAAAAGAAAAGTCCCAGGCTTCCTCGATTTCCGCGAGCGGCGTCTCACAAAAACCGCTCACCCACGCGCACCGGGCCTTGCACTTTGAATGCCGTGGGGCTCCTGTCGTTAGACGTGTGGAGACGCGAGGGTTGCCCCCCCTTGCCCCACCACCTCGTGTGTGTGGAGAAGTTTACCTTACCTTACCTTACCTTACCTCACAAAAAGCCTGGCCCTGGCCGTCCCGGCGCAAGAAATGCCTTGCCGCCGAGCTGTCATTGTCCTTCTGCAGGCCGCGTGCAGCGACGCGCGAGTCCTGGCGGTGCAGCCGCCCCGCCGTGCGGACCATGGCCAACCAGCCCGTCGACGCGCCCGACGACGTGACCTCAGCCGGTAAGTGTCGAGAGCGTCCCCCAGCCATCCTCGCTCGCCGCCTCGCCCCTCCCGGCGGCGCGGCGGCGCCCGCGACGGGCGGCTCGCCCCACGGCGCACCCCGCCGCCGTAGGTACTCGAGGTGCTCGCCCTCCAACGACGCCGCGACCCGCTGGGCCGGCTGCCGCTAGCCGGCCGGCCGCCGGTCGCCGCGGGCCTCTTGCGCCCTCGCGCCGGCGCCCCTTGCGCCGGCGCCGGCCGCGCCGGCCCCGGCGATCGCCGCGCCGCGGCTCCCTCGCTCCGCCGCGGCGCGGCCTGTGCCGCGCTCGCGACCTCGGCGCGCCGCGCCTGCCGCCCGCGCGCCTGCCGCCCCCGCGCCTGCCGCCCCCGCGCCTGCCGCCCCCGCGCCTGCCGCCCCCGCGCCGCCCCCGCGCCGCCGTCGGCGGCGTCCAGCGCAAGCGCCGCCGCCGCGTCGCGCGCCGCGCGGGCAGCCTCGACGGACCAGAAGCCGTGCTCGTCGTACCCGGCGTCCCACACGCCCAGCGAAGGGCTGAGTGCCGTCGCGAGACCTCGGCACGCCTGCGCACGCCTGCACACGCGGCAGAGCGACAGCAGCACCACCCTCCGGGCGCCGACGAAGCGTGCTCGCGGTTCGCCGCTCCGTCGACCGACGGCCGAGAGACTTGCTCCGACGCCACCCCGCCCCCACCCCGCCGGTCCGGCACCGACATGTCGGAGGACGACCTAAGGAAGAGGCGGCGCGTCGCCGGGGGACGGCGCGCTCGTGCTCTCGCCGCGAGATCGAGGGAGGGGGGGCTGCGCCGCGGAAGAGCGCCAGGGCGAGGGGTGCGTGTGCGCCGCCCGCGGAAGAGCGCGCGGGTGAGGGAGGAGGGGGTGCGCGCGTGCCGTCATGCAGCGTCGCCGGCCGCCGGCCAAAGAGCTCGGCTCCTCGAGAGCACCGACGGACGACGATCGGCTCCTCAGCAGTGGGACACCGAGCTGGAGGCTCGGCCGGGAGCTCGCGCGGGCACGTGGAGCTTTCCGCTCGGGCCAACAGGAAACGGGCGCCCCGCACAGCGACGCCCGCCGTAGAGTGCCGAGAGCTCGGCTCGACGCGAGCGCCGAGGAGAAGCGATCGGCTCCGCAGCAGTGGGACACCGAGCTGGAGGTTCGGGCGGGAGCTCGCGCGAGCACATAGCGAGGTGCGCGCGCGGCGGCGGCGGACAGGTGAGCGGGCAGCTGGCGCACATTTCGACTGTGAGAGCTGCCAGGAGTTTGCTCTCTCCGTTCACACCCCTTTGCAGAATTTGCACTAAATTTGGGATAAATTTCAGATTACCCGGTTTTTGAGATTCGCCTCGCAGATCACCCGGCGTTTTTCAGATCACCCGGCGTCTGCGAGTTTTTGCCTCGCAGATCACCCAACACGGCGAAATGTCGTTTCCAGATTACCCAACACGGCGAAATGTCGTTTCCAGGTTACCCGGGTCACGAAATTTCTTTTTCCAGATCACCCGGTTTTGAGCTTCGCCTCGCAGATCACCCGGCGTTTTCCAGATCACCCGGCGTGAGCGGTTTCAGATCACCCGGTGCGGCAAAATGTCGTTTCCAGATTACCCAACACGGACGGCGAAATGTCGTTTCCAGGTTACCCAACACGGCGAAATGTCGTTTCCAGGTTACACGGAAGCTGAAATTTCTTTTTCCAGATCACCCGGTAGTGGGATGCGCCGGGTAATCTGAAACCGTTTGGGATTCACGACTGCGTCATTCAAGCAAACGAGGCCGGGGATTCCGAGTGGGAGCTCTCCTTGAGCACTTGAGCACCGGATAGGTAGGGTCGATTCCGCATGGTACGGGACCCCTTAGGACCAAGTGCCGCAGGTGCTCGCTCTCTGGACGAGGTGCACGCTCGCGTCCGGGTAAGCTGAAACGAGAAATTTGCGCGCCCGGGTAATCTCAAAGAGAAAAGTTAGCCGCCGGGTAATCTGGACGAGAAATTTGGCCGACCGGGTAATCTGACATGAGAAAAGTTAGCGGCCGGGGAAGCTGAAACGCGAATTGCGGGAGACTGGGTAAACTGGTTCTCAGTTTTTTGATGAAATTGCTGCTGAGCAGGAAAATATCGTTGCCGGGTAATCTGGACGAGAAATTTGGCCGACCGGGTAATCTGACATGACAAATTTTAGCGACCGGGTAAGCTGAAACACGAATTGTGGGAGACTGGGTAAACTGGTTTGACGGAAATCGCGCTAAGCAGGAAAATATCGTTCGTCGGGTAATCTGCGAGGCGAATCTCAAAAACCGGGTAATCTGAAATTTATCCCTAAATTTGCGCTAAATTTGCGCTAAATGTGCACTAAAGTTGCGCTAAATTCGCACTAAATTCGCGCTAAAGTGCACTAAAGATGCAGTACATAAACACTTCACACCGCACTAAATTTAGACCCAGGCGCCCTCCCTTGAAGGTGTTGAAAATTCTCGTCTTCAACATGTGCAAACGCATGACGCTCTGCTTCCTGCTCCTCCTCGAGCCGTCAGCAGCGGCGCTTCTGCGTCGCGTTACCGGCGTCAGCATCAACGATTTGGAGTCGCGGCGGGCGTGCGAGGCGGGCGCAGAAGGAAGGGTGGGGTTCTGCGCGGCGCGGGCTCACCTCTGCTGTTCGGCCGCCACGGGATACATCGCGCACTACGAGCAGGTGGATATCCCGTCGCCGGCTGAGTACGCGCCAGCGCAGGAGATCACCTTAGTAGACCTGATGCCGCATATCCGGAGGGTGCTCGCTGCATCGGGATTGCGTGATGGTTCGGTTAATATCATCTCGCGGCACACGACCACCGCCATCACGATTAATGAGTGGGAGAGCCGGCTCGCGCGCGACCTCAAGTCGTGGCTGCTGCAGCTCGCGCCGCCCGATGACCGGTCGGCTGTGGGTATCGCGGGGCGGGGGGTGCACTATATGCATAACGACATCGACGAGCGGCCCGACTCGGAGGATGAGCGGCAGCGCTGCCTCGAGAATGGGTGGGATGTCGACGATCCGAAGGCGCTGGAGGCGTGGCGCGCGCAGGAGCCGATCAACGCGCACTCACACCTCGCGTGCATGCTGCTCGGATCGAGCGAGTGCGTCCCATGCGTCGGCGGCGAACTTGTGCTCGGCCAGTGGCAGTCCGTGATGCTTGTCGACCTGGACGGGCCGCGGGCACGCACCGTGGGTATTCAGTGTCTGGGCTTTTAATATTTTAGTGTGGGTAACCTCGGGTAACCTCTTCTAGCGCCTCTAGGAAACATCTTCCCCCGATGGGTCCGAGAGATGTCCTCCGGTAGTGGAGGCTCCACACCACCTGACTGTGACTCGCGTCGTTGCCACCTCGCACCTGTGACCTGACTCTCGCCTGGAGAGGCCTCTTAGCCGAGGCACACGTGGCAATCGCCACGTGCGCCACCAGGGATTTCGGCCATTTTAGAGCCTTTTGCACAAAAATGCAGGTGGCTTCAGCCACTTGCTCCATGAGCAAAACAGTGCAAAAAGCACCTGGAGCAGATGGCTTACGCCGCCTGTGGACATGGACAAAACAGTGCAAAAAGCACCTGGAGCAGATGGCTTACGCCGCCTGTGGACATGGGCAAAACAGTGCAAAAAGCACCTGGAGCAGATGGCTTACGCCGCCTGTGGCCATGGGCAAAACAGTGCAAAAAGCACCTGGAGTAGATTCCAAACGCCGCCTGTGGCCATGTGAGCGCTCGGGTGGCGCCAAGGGCTTCGGCCCCCTCCAAGCCACCTGCCCCGCCCCCCTCGCCACACGTGGAGGGCTGGAGCACGTGCGCCACCTGGGCCCGATGGGTGGGCAGGTGGCTCCAGTCGGCTTCGGCCCCTCCAAGCCACCTGCCCCCCCTCCCTCGCCACACGAGGAGGGCTGGAGCACGTGCGCCACCTGGGCCTGGGCAGGTGGCTCCAGGTGGCTTCGGTCCCTCCAAGCCACCTGCCCCGCCCCCTCGCCACACCTGGAGGGCCGGAGCACGTGCGCCACCTGGCGCAAGTTTGAATTCGGAAACGGAAAATCCGAGCCACGGAAGGGCTGGCCTGCCAAACGCGAGCCTCCCCGCTCCTCCCCGCGCTGCAAACTGGGACTGTAGGGTGTGTGAATGAGGGCCTGCGGCGGTCGTCGGCGGCTACAATCAATGTCCGGCGTCGACATAAGCCTGGGGCTTCAACCCGGCCCGCGCGGGCGTTTGGTGTGGCTGCAAACGCCGCAGGAGCCGGTGGCTGCGCTGCTCACGCGCCGTTGCTGCCGACGCTGAGCAGTCTGACTCGCCAATGAGAAGACTGCCCAATAATACGCCATCACTCGATCCCCGATAAACCAGGCCATGCAGAGCTTTGTCGGCCTCGCCGACGTCGTGTGCTGGCTGCGTGGTAGAGTTGCGAGAGTGGATTGTGGAGGCGCGGCGGGGGCGGCTCGTGGTGCCGAGGCGGTGTATAGTAAACCTGTGTCACCCGGAATCCATACTGTCACTCGAAAACCATAAGATTTGTCAAATTTGCTGCAATTGCTGTCTTATTTGCTGAATATCTACTGGCATGCCATGTAAATGCTTGTGCATTGCTGCCCGGTACGACTGTACTGATCTGGCTTGCGCACCAGTGCTGGCAGGCTCACACCATAGTGCTCCCTTGCCTGCTGGTGTCGGCAACAATACCCTTGCTGGCAAGCTTCACCTCGCGAGCTGCCTCAATGGGGTGCCGAGGCATAGAGATTAGAGTCTCGCCTACACTGCGGCACAGACACCTGATGAGGACAGTATGATACCACATGAATCTGCCCAGTTGCAGCAAATCTACTGAACAGTTGAGGGCTGGCGAGAGAGACCGTTAAGGAGCGCGAAACGCGCGAGGAAGCCGCGGGCTGCGGGGTCATATACACGTAAGAAGAAAAAGTTCTGCAAAACGAGACTCCTTGTTATCCATAAAAGAGCCACCTACACTGATATGTCAACCGGCGCACATGCGACGAGAGCGGGCGCCGTTTTTCATTGCCTATTCTAACGAGACACAGAGCAGCGGCACGGGCGTTGCCGATCGAACACGGATTGCTGAGGGTCATGCACAATTCGTGCGGTTATGGGCTGCCACCGCAAAACATGCAAACGACAGGCCAGGCCACGTGCGCCACCATATCTCCAGCTGCGCAGCGGCAACGACTGCCGAGGCGCAGGCCGAGCCGCAGCCTACCGATGCCCCGCCGACATGCGGCATTGGCCAAAATGCTGGGCATCTCAGGTTAAGGAAGGCAACTTGAAATAGCAAGGAGCATCCTAGAATGCAAAGGGGTAACTCCAGATGCTAGCGCATTCACGAATGCAGTTCGCATTCCAGGATGGTCGACGCATCCTGGAATGCGTGGACCATCTTTGGAATGCGGTGTGCATCTCTTGAAATGCGAAAAGTCAACTCGGCGTTCTGAGTTGAAAAAATGCAACGATCTGAGTTGATTTTTTGCAACTCAAAATGCCCTCAGCATCTCCAATTGCGGGTTCCCCGGACCCCGCCCCTGACGGGCGCTGCCCGCTGGCGCCTCTGGATGGGCGTCTACGTAGCAAGGTGGGCGTTGGGCGGGGCCTCTACTCGCCAGGTCGTGTACATGTACAATACTCAGTTGCTGCGGTGCTTTCTGTCACTCATGTGCACCGGGCCTGTTTAACTGCCTCCAACGACTCGTGCTCAGTCGCCGCCTCCGCCTCGAGCTGCATCAAAGAGACCGCCGCGTCGCTCACCCGCGAGCGCAGCCTCGGGTCCGGGCGGAGAAGGCCGTCAAAGAGGGCGAGGAGCTTCTTCGGCAGCGGCGGGTCTGGCACAGACAAGCCGTACAAGCGCGCTCTGCGGTCGAGCAGCCTCGAGATTGGACCCGGCGCGGCAAGGGTTCTTGCACCCACGGCATCCAACTGTGAGGCCGATCCCAACGGCGGCAATGCACGCAATCCGGGCGGCAAGCCCAGCCCGGGCGGCGAATGGCGCGGTGGCGAACGCGACAGCCGAGCGCTCTCGCAGTCGATGCTGTACGCGACAAACTCGTCGTCGGCGGCATCGGCGCACCGAAACGGGTAGAACGGCGCTCGCGCCTCAAACTCGTCGGGGTCGCGCGGCGCAAGGAGCGCTAATAGACAAGCGCCGAGAGACCAAGCGTCGGCCGCAAACGGGCAATACCAGCAAAGCTCGTCACCGCGCACCTCCGGTGCCATCGTAGCAGGGGAACCCACCTGCTCTCTGCACGCGCCGTCTGCGTCGGCTGGCAACCGCTCGCGCTCTGTGGCGGTAAGAGCCTGCACCGCCGTGAGCTGCGAGATGTGGATACCAAGTCCGAGGTCGGCGAGCTTGAGAAGTGGCCTGCCGACAACTCCTCCACTGCCGCCGCCGCCGCGGCCAAAGAGGAGGAGATTCTCGAGCTTGAGGTCGCGGTGCGCCACGCCCGCCGCCGCGTGGAGGTGCCGCAGCCCCGATGCGGTCTGTCGGGCAAGATCTAGCGCCTCCCGCCTTCCCAATACGCCGCGCCTCTGCCAGAGCTGATGTTGCAGATCGCCCGCCGCAAGGTCGAGCGCGAGCCGCACGTGCTCGCCTTCGAGGAAGGCGCCATGCAATCCGACGACATGCGGATGAGGGCCCGCCTCGTGCGCGCGCCGCAAGAGCGTCGCCTCGTGGGCAAGGCCGCGTGCGGCGGAGCGGCGGCGGAGCGAGACGGCCTTGACGGCGACGCCGCAGTGCGGGAAGTGCCACACCGGCCGCGGCTGGTAGACGCAGCCAAATGCGCCTCGGCCGAGCCGCGTCCCCGAAGCGAGCCGCGGCAGCACAATCGCCGCGGGGTCGTCGGCGCTGGGCATGCGCCTCCACTCGGGATTGACCTCGAGAAATGCGGCGATCAGGCGTGCGCGGTCCCGAGCCAGCGCACGTGCCAAGCGGCGCGCCACCCGTCCCCGCTCTGCGCTGCAGGCACACAGCCGAATCGACCCGCTGCTTTGCCGCTGACCCGCAGAGCTCGTCCCACGTCGACGAGGTGACGCCTGCGACCCGCGCCGCCTGTGACAGGGCGGGGCCGTGTTCCCACCCGGAAGTGGCCGGGCCACAAGCCGTGGAGGCCAAAATCGCCATACGGGCGACCAGGACGCCCAGCGCGGCGACAGACGGCGGCGGCGAGGGCGGAGGCGGCGAGGAAGAGGCGGCGGAGGATGGCGGCGGCTCCGCTGTCCCTGCTTCTGCCTCCGCCACCGACGCTTCTGGTGCGGGTCCCGGTGTCGGCTGATCCGCAGAGAGCCTCTCCCTCGCTCGCGCCCTGTCCTGGCGGCGGATCCTCGCTAAGTGGCGCTGCTGCAGTCGCCGCTGGTCGGCGTTGAGTGCGACAGCCTTCTCCGAGTCTGCTATCCTTCGCTCAAGCGCCTCGATCCGCTGCTGCAAGATATCGCAGGCGCGGCTCTGCGACGTGCGGTCATCGCCGGGTCCGCCGCCGCTCCAACGGGCTGGTTCTCGCTGGGCGGCAGCTAGCCTGCGCGGCACTCTTGCCGGACGGCGACGGGGCGCAGAGGCCGGACGCGGCTGAAATTGGTGGCCGTGGAGGGCCCGCTCTGCGGCCAGCCACTCCCTGTCGATGCGCGCCTCGTGATCGTCCATCGGACCAAGGCAACGCTGTATTTTCTACCCGGTACGGGGCGGCGTGGTGGCGGGCGCATTGGGCGCAGCTGAACGTCGGGCAGTGGCTCGGCGTCGTCGAGCCGTGCTGCCTCTGCGGGCGGCCCGGGTCGGCGGGCGAGTTGTGGCGGGCGGGCGCGTGGCGGTGGGCTAACTCGACAGGCCGCTGCGCGGCGCCCTATCTCGCCACCACTGACGATCGGTGGGGGGTGCCTGGCCTGCGCCAGGCATACGTCGCGCATGGCATGTGCGGCGGGCTCTGCCAAGGATGGGGCTGCTGCGAGGCGCGGGGCGTGGCGCAGCCGCAGGATGGGAGCGGCGAGGCGCGAGGCGAGGGCGAGGGCGAGGGCGAGCTAAGCTCGGACGGCGACTCGGACCGGTCTGCGGGAGACCCTGTGTGGGGCTCGGCGGCGCTGGAGGACGAGTGGCGCGCCGCGTCTCTCGCGAGGCAGGCGGTAGGCGACGCGGCGTACGCCGCGGCGCATGCTGCTGGCGCTTCGCGGGCTGAGGCGTGCGACGCCGCCGTGAGGGCGGTGAGGTTGGACGAGGTTGAGGCTCAGTCCTCGTTCCTCGTGCGCGCTGGGTGGTACGGCTCCGGCCGTGATGGGGGCGGGGAGGGGGAGGGGGCGACGGCCGCACGGAATCGCCGCCGGCGGGGGGCGAGGGCGCGGGCGAAGGAGGAGGAGCCAGAGCCCGGGGAGGATTGGGAGGGGGAGGAGCGGCCGGAGGAGTACGCCGGCCTCTTTGACGACCCGTAAGGGGCCGTCGCCTGCTGTGCCATTTGTAGTGCCAGTCCGAGCCAGTCTGCTGTGAGAGGGGCTTGTATAGTAAAATTCTACTCCCGAACTGGCGCGTGCTAGTACTATCACCGGCACACCGTGTCGAGCCTGTGTGCTGTGAGAGAGAGTTGTGTTGTTTAAATTCTTTCCTTTTCTCGTGCGTTCCCTCTCGGACAACCGCCAAGCAGTTATCCGCTGCTGCTGCTGGCGCGGCGCGGCTCTGCGACTGGGCTCGACGAGCGCGTCGCGTGCATCTGACGCGGCGGGCGGCGTCGGGCAGTGCGCTTCTCTCTCTGGTGGTGGTGGTGCTGCTGCTGCTGCTGCTGGTGGTGCAGATGCTGCTGCTGGTGCGGCGCGGCTCTCCGATGCGACTCGATGCGCGCGTTGCGGCAATCTGACGCGGCGGGCGGCGTCGCGGGCGGCAGCGGTGGCGGCGTCGCGGGTGGAGGCTGGAGGCTGTGGTGGACCTTTGACTACTGGGTAGTCTTGAGTAGTCTCGGGTAGCCTCGGGTCATCTCGGGTCATCTCAGGTCATGTTGGATCTAGCGTAGTCGGCACACAAACACACACACACAAACACACACACACATGCGCACACGCACGCACGCAAGCACGCACGCACACGCACACACACACACACACACACACACACACACACACACACACACACACACTCACACACACACACACACACACACACACACACACACACACACACACACACACACACACACACACACACACACACACACACACACACACACACACACACACACGCCAAATTGGTAATCTCGGATAATCTCGGGTGATCTCGGGTAATATCGAACTCGTGTATTCGGGTTGCCTGCCCCCACACATTATTAGTGATCTCGGGTAGTCTCGGGTAATCTCGGGTTATCTCGGGTTATCTCGGGTAACCTCGGGTCATGTGGGGTCATCTCGGGTCATATTGGATCTCGCGTAGTCGGTACACACACACTCACGTACACACACACAAACACACACACACACACACACACACTCACATACACACACACACACACACACACACACACACACACACACACACACACACACACACCACACACACACAAACACACACACACACACACACACACACACACACACACACACGGAAGCGCACACACACACACACATTATTAGTAATCTCGGGTAATCTCGGCCATTCGTTAGTATTCCAGGAGCAGCGAAAGGCGCGGGCGGCGCGAGGTGGTGGCGGGACTGCGCGGCTCGATTTAGTTATTATTCTGGGGTAACCTGGAGGGATATGAGTTGACCTCGAGTACTGTATTCCACGTCCTAACCTAATTAGTTAATTCATTAATTAATTACGTATTGTATTCCGCGCTGGGTATTCGTAAGTATTCCAGGAAGGCAGGGCGCGAGGCGGAGCTGTCTCGAAGCAGCGTATCACCACCCACGCTGTAGATGGACAGAGAACTGCAATTCCCTTCCCCCCTCGGAGGGGGCCGGAGGAGGCGTACCCCGAGGACCCGCTCTTTCCCCTTCCCCCCTCGGAGGGGGCCGGGCGAGGTGTAACCCGAGGGCCCTTGCCCGCTAGGAATAGTCTTCCCTGACCCCGCCCGTCGGCCCGCCTGCCCTGCCCGCCTGGCTGATAAGATCTTTTCACCTTGACTTGGTGGAGTACAGGCGCGGGGTGCGTGTGGCTGAGACTCGGCTCGTGAGCCCCGCGTAGACTCTCGCCTGCCAACCCCGAAGGGGCTGCCGTCCACCCGTCGCTGCCCAGGTCGGGGGAGGGGGGGAGACCTCCTGTTCCTCGCGGAACGGGAGTAGGCCCCTCCTTGCCCGGTCAGGAAGCAGGGCGGTGGTCGTGCCATCGTCGTTTCGAACTCGAAACCACCGACACACGCCGCATTCGTCGCCGGCGCGCGACAGGCTCCCGTCGGCCGGACTGCCCTCGACGAGTGGGTGTCTCCAACCAAAGCGACACGCACTCGAGGGTAGTGCCGACGGGACGCGGCTCGAGGGCGACTCTCGCGAAGGCACGGCTGGCAACCGTGGCGCGGGGCTCGCGTTCGACAAGACCGGGATCGCTCCGGGCGCGCTGAGGTCGCACGCCAAGCCAAGTTATATGCCAAGGGCGTGCGATCGAGAATCGGCTCACGCACCTCTGCTCGCGTACCCTCACCCATAGAATTGTCACCGCCAGTGAGTGCGAGATAGGGCTAGCGGCTGGCGGCTAGCCTCTGAGGAGAGTGACCAGAGACACCTCACATGACCCCACACACGGTCTAGTCCGGCCTCGCGGTCGGCGGAGATTGCTAGAGGACGAGCAAGCCTGCTCTAGCCTCGCACGTTGCTTCCTGTCGTCTGTTGTTTGTTGTGCCCTTGTTTGTTTCTCTTGGCACCTTAGAGTGCTGGGGGGGGCGACAGGAAGAATGTGGCCCTGAGTTATGTGTACGCCAACTCAGGGTGTGTGGCAGCCAGATGGCTGTGTGTCTTGTGAGCTTGTTTGTGTCTGTGTGTCGTTCGTGCGTGTCGTCATCATCTGTCCCGCGTCCACCCATACCGCGTTGGTGTCCAGTCCGAGCCAGACTGTTGTTCATCTTTCTACATACATACATAAGGCATCGGCGGATCCTCTCATTCCACATGGTTCGAACGACTGTACGTGTGTACGTGTACATCACAGGGCATGAGAGAGCCCACATATATCTAAATTTTTTTCCGCCATGGCGGCATGAGTTTTCCCGCGTACGACCTGGTCCTCGGCACACCGGCTGGTGTCCGAGATGGGGCCTCCGGCTGGAGGCCATCAGATAGCGGCCCACAGGCTTGTGGGTTCGCGCGAAAATTGAATCGAAACGAGGCAAAACGCCCACACCGCAAGCCGCAGAAAACTAGAGCACCCGCACCAGCGAGAGAGGGCACACAGGCCACCAAGCCGCCGCGAGGAGACCAGAGAGGACAGAGGCGCGAGCGCGAGAGAATCAGCAGCGCGTGCGACGCCAGCCACGAACATTACACGAGAGCCGAAAGCCATAGGCGCAGTGCGATGCGACACTGCGATGCGATGGGACATGGAGATGAGGGGCAGGGTGACAGCGCAGAAGCAGCAGAGAGAATAGGACATGAGTACCACGGCGACCGGGATGTAGGCGGCGAGGAACGGCGACGGACGAGCGGGGGCGAGGCAGCGGCGGCGCGACAGGAACCAACGAGGATAGAAAAAGAGAGACACGGGCTGCGCCGCGCGGCGAGGAGATCCAGCGGAATGCGACCGACGCGACCCGTGCAACACGAGGAGGCGGACGACGCCGTGGCAGGAGGCGGCGTGTCGTGGCCGCGCACCGAGGTGCGCGGGAGAGAGCCGGAGGGAAGGCGCGCGCGACGAGGAGAGAGACAGAGAGGAGAGAGCGCAAGGAATATGGACCCTCGCGCGCGAGCGGAACACAAGGCGACACGGGAGGGCGGGACCGGGCCAGGGCGTACGGGGATCGACCCATCACTAACACACAGGGACACGCACACTGAACACGCCGTGGGAGCCGGACACACACAGATGGGGACCAACACCAGTGCCCACACCACAGAGGCCCGCAGACGCCAACACCACAACATGAGCCAGACCGACTCGCCCCGCCCGACACACACGGGAGATGCAGTTGAGAGGACGTGGGACCCCACTTATAGTTTCGATGAACACTCCCGAATATCAAATTTATTTTTTCGATCGTTGGGCATGTGCGCCTCGTTGGCGACTTGAAACTGACGAGCTCGCTTGCGTGCAAGGGTGGCGATCGGCTCGGCTGGAAGGGGGCTTTTGTCGCCTTCGGCAACACCGAGCGGGCGCTGCTCGACTTAGTGTTAGGGCATGCTGCATGGCCGCGGCCGGGAGGGGGGGGGGAGGGGGGGAGGGAGGCGGAGGATGCAGAGGCGGAGGCGGCGGCGGCGGAAGAGGAGGAGGGGGAGAGTGAGGGGGAGGCGGAGGCGGGGGCACCTGTGACGGCCCGCTACGAGAAGGGCGAGTACCGGTTCGCGCGGGAGAAGAATTGCGACCTGCGTTTGCTCGACTTCGAGACGTTCGGCGGCTTCGGGGACGGCGTCCGCAGAATTCTTCGGCAGGCGGCGGACCAGCTGAGTAACAAACTTTCGCACGCTCAGCACCTCGATGAGGTCACATGGACCACCAAGAACTGGCACGGGCTGCAGATGCAGCGCTTGTCTGTCGTTCTCCACACCGCCGTGGCGTGGCAGACGGTGAACGAGCTAGCGTGCGGGGACAGCGGCATTGTGCACGGAGCTAAGTGCATTGCCGTTCTTAACGGAGTCGCTTAGGCGGCTCCGGTGGTGTGCCGGTGATAGTACTAGCACGCGCCAGTTCGCACCTGTGTCGAGCCTGTCTGCTGTGAGAGAGAGTTGTTTTGTTTAAATGGGGGGCAGGGAGAGGGGGGGGGAGAGGAGGAGGGGGGGGGGGAGGGGGAGGGGTACCGGGGGGGCGGCATGGAGGGGGAGAGGAAGAGCAAGGGCGAGAGAGGGCAAGGGACTGGGCGCTGGCATACCAGGGGGGGCAGGGTGGTGGGCGGCGACCGCCGCATACCGTCCTACGGCGGGGACTATCGCTACGCCAGGGAAGACAAGGGCGTCGAAGTGCAGCTGCTGCTGTTCGAATCGTTCGGCGGGTTCGGAAAGGGGGTCCGTGAGATCCTCCGGAGAGCGGCGGACGTGCTACAGAACAAGCTGACGCGGGCCCAGTACCTCGATGAGGTGACTTGGACCACCAAGAGCTGGCTGGGGCTGCAGAAGCAGCGCATCTCAGTCGTTCTTCACACGGCCATCGCAGAGCAGGTCGTGAATGAGCTTGCCTGTGGCGGGGGTGGGCGGGTGCACGGAGCTAAGTGCCTCGCCACCCTCGCAGGAGTCGCTTAGGCGGCTCCCGTGGTGTACCTGTGTTAGTGCCAGTGCGAGCCAGTCCCGTGCCCAGTCCTGTGCCCAGTGTTGTGCGAGGGAGCTTTGTTGTAAAATTCTTTTCTCCCAGCGGCGGGCATTCGAAGCGCACACCGACGAGAACGCGACATGACGTCGCACACCGAGACGATGATGGGAGAGGGGATCGCAAAGACTGGCGGCACGACCATGGTGGCGCTGATCCTCCCGCGACCCGCCACGAGCATCCAAGGAGCGACCACCAAGCAGAGGCTCACCGTGACCGACCCGATAGAGGGAGTGGACAACAGCAAGCGACTGATCCTCACCAAGGAGGAGAGCGAGGCGAC